TGATGACGGAATATGTCTACTATCTACAATTTTATATAAGTAAGTTATACCACCAGTTTTTTTAATTTTTAAAAATTTTTTACAATACAGAAAAGAGGTTGTTCATAAACATCGAGCAATTTTTGACATTTTTTGCCCCTCCCCTCCCTCGTAACGCATCTGCAACACTTTATTGACATCCCCTCTCTCAATATTACGCAACATTTTTGTTTCTCCCCCCCCCCTTTCCCACTAAAATATTTTTTTGGAGATAGGGGAGTACAAAATTCTACAAAAAGTTGTATAAATTATTGCTAGTTATATAAAATATCGCTATCCTAAACATAATACCAATTTTAAAAATCTATTCTTTTGATATATAACACATGCAAAATTTTTTATGTATAATACATAATAATACAATTTCTATGTGAACCAAATAAGAAATAAAATATAATACATGCAAAAAAATTATTTTATAAATAAAATTTTCTTTCAACGCGATACGCTAGCTCGACTAGAGAATTCCGCTTCAGGCTAATAAACCTAGGCTTCTAGGTTCGCCTCTCGATGTCGATGTTGTTTTTTTAAATTGTAATAGAATTGTTAACAAGGCCAAAAGTAGCAAGGACAAGGACTAGGCCAAGGCCAAACGTCACATGGCAAAGATTATGACCAAGGCCAAAAGTTACAAGAACAAGGACAAGGCCAAGGCCAAGATTTTTAAGGTCAAGGCCAAGGTTAAGAGTTTCAAGGCCAAGGCCTACGCAAGCATTTTCAAGACCAAAGACTTTAATTTTTGTCTTACGTTAAGGCCAATTATTAACAAAACTGTAATTAACAAGTGCTGTAATAAAAAAAACACATTTGGTAAAAATAGACCAAGGTTATGCGCAGAATTAAACGAAGTCAATAAAATTTATATTTTTTTTAAGGCCAAGGCCAAGGCCAAAACTTTCAAGGCCAAGACCAACAGTATCAAGGCCAAGACCAAGGTCAAGGCCTAAAGTTTTGGCCTTAAGGCAAGGCCAAGGACTAACAACTCTAATTTGTGCAAAAAGGTTATTTTTTTGTTGTTGCAGACTTTTGTCAACCAACTAAATAAAGTTCTACACTTGGACCATTTAAAGTCAAAGCGCAGAACATGCACTGCACAAAGACTCTTACAGCCGTAACAGTCCGTAACTACTCAATTAACGGAGTGTACAAAATTTATCATGGAAATATCACGGAGTGTACACATCGACTATGTAAGGTTTAGGCAAAAGTTGATTTTACAATCAACATAAAGAAACATACAGAGGGTTTTGGTCTTTTTAATTAAAAGATATCTTTTCTAGATTTAAAACTAAGAAAAAAAGATTATGTTGCTTCACAAAATCAAGACCCCCTCCCCCTTGTAACAAATTGTCACAAAATTTCCTACTCCCCCCTCCCTAAAGCGTGACATTTTTGAACGATTTCTAATCTGAACTTCATCCAACACTTTGCTTCTATCTACAAAAAATTCCTGTCTTTGCCAGATTTCATCACAGGAACATCATAAAAACATACACAGGAACATCATAAAAAGTGTCTTGTGGTGGGGATTTGGATAATTCCAATTTTAAAAGGTGCCATTCGAAGTTTGAGCGGCAACAAACTTAACTCTCTAACACTAACAACCTTGTTATAGTCATTTGAAGTAAATGATGGTGGCAAATTTGTAGTGCATTAAACCTATAAATACCAGCAAAGCATTGGCTCCATCTACACAGTGAGTGAACCATCATAAAATTTATACAAAGCTCTCATGACATAAAAATCAATTATTTCGATGTCCAAAATAAATTCTCTCACTGCCAAGAACTTTTTACTTTCATTTTGCATGTGTATCCATGTCTTAAACTTTCACTTAGATCTATACACGAATTTTATTTATATATGAGGACAGTTTGAAATTAAGTTTGATAAACTAAACATGTACAAAATTTAATTTCAAATACTATCACTTAAAGTCTGAGCATTTTTTCCAGCTTAGTAAAAGATCTTTTTTCTGGTAATTATGATTAAGTATTTGGAATAAGATCTAATAATAATTTTAATAATAAGATCTAATAATAATTTTATTTGAATAAGATTGCATCGACACACATTGTTTTTGTATGTTTATTGATTCCATTAAACTTCCATTTTATTTTTTTAATGTTGTATTTTTTATGTTTTTAATTATATTAACTGTTATTGTTTTTTTTTTCATATGCTGAGGTATTATTTTTGTGTTTCCTAGCTCTTCTTTATATGTAAAAAGAAGAGCTATAATTATTTATATACTAAATTACCAATTAAAAATACCAAGAAACTATTTATAAATAAACAAAATAAATATAAAATAATCAACAGAACAAATTTTAGAATATAATAGAAATTTTTCCAATTGCAGTTGAAAAATTACAGGCTCAGATTATTCATAAAATTTACTCATAAGAAAAAGTATTGAATATGGAAAAGAGAAAACAACATTATTGCTATGGACATTGCTTAGAATATTATTTTTGACCGTGTTTAAATAAATGAGATTAATACTTTTACTTTATAACAATAATAATATTATTATTATATTGTCATTATAATAATATTAAGTTATATGTAGTATTTAAATTAAAATTTATATAATAATAATAACTAGCAGTAAGCAACCCGTAATACGGGTTAGTAGTAAATAAATCATTACTAACAATTTGATTTTTATTTACTTTCTCTAATAAAATATAAATTTATTTATACAGTAAGCAACCCGTAATACGGATTAATAGTAAAAAAATCATTACTAACAATTTGATCTTTATTTACTTTCTCTAATGAAATATAAATTTATTTATACCTTTTTTTAGTTGTGCTCACTATTAATTTTCTTGGCTTCTTAGTTTAAGAGAACTCTTAGCCTAATTAAAGATAAAGTTAATCATTTCTTTTGCAGTGTTCAGACATTGAATGCGCAAATCACAACCATGTAGTAGTTAAAAATGACTTGAATTATATGCACAGAACATCGATGTCAAATTTTCAAATTTGACATCAATATTGTTGATGTCAAATTTGAAAATTTGACATTGATATTATTGAATTAATAATAAAAGCAATTTGATTTTACTCAATATTTTTGAAGTAATTATTCAGTTTTAATAAAATTGATAAAACCATATAAGACAGTTAAAAATTATATTTAAACTTTTGTTCACTTTTTGAAAATCCGAAAAAAAAGCAAGTATCAAGTTTACATATCTTTAAAAGAAATTTATTTACATAATATATAGTTAAATATGTAACAAAAATATTTTAAAACAGAAGCATACATAAAACACATTTTTCTTAAAAAAACAAAGTTGAAGCCACCATTTACAGTACCAAGCATAGCCTATTGTAAAGAAAACCATATCAAATAATTTAAAATATTTATTACCGATAGGGACGACAATTAAACATATTTAAAAAGCTACGTGATTCCATATTAGTAGGACTGTTATAGAAAAGTATATTAAAAAAGTATATTTAAAAAAAAGTGTATTAAATAGATAACAGATTTTTAAAAACTACCTAATTTTGTAAGCATTTTGCCAATGGTGTTTAATTTTGAAACCAATATCTTTAATGGAAAGCCGACTTGTTTAACTAATCTCATTCAAAGAGCAAAATTATTAACACTTAAAGATTAAGAAAAAAAAATGAATGAGATATAAACAATCGTACAATTGTATTATATAGATAAGTAGATATATATGAAAAAAAACAACAACTGGAAAACAGTATACCTGCTTTTGGTAACCTATTGTGATACTGCAGTAGTTGCTGTAGGGATGCAGCTGTTCTTTTTGGTGTTGTTCAAAAACTTTATTTTTATGTTGGCTTTTAGTAAACTTAAGTTTAATTTAAAAGACATCATAACGGATTTAAAATACTCATAATAAAAAAAGCAAAACATAAAATGCTTCAAGGAGCCAAACTATAAACATTAAAGATAAAGAATCGAATCGAGATAAATAAATTGTATTTATATAGCTAAATATATTGCCTTGGGTTTTGGTGAATTTTAAAAGCAGTGAGTTCAATAAATGAAACTACCAAATAATTGCCTTAAAATTATTTGAGCCATATTATTTGATTTTAATAAAATTATTTAATTTTATTAAAATAATTGCCGTAAAATTATTTGGTAAAATTATTTACTAAATAATTTTACCAAATAATCGCCCCAGATGTTGCCACATCTGGGGCGGATCTTCTAATGATGCTCTTTCTCTTTTAGACAAGGTGCAAAAACGAATTGTAAACATAGTTGGACCTGCTCTGGCAGCCAATCTCCAACCTTTGTCACATCGTCGTAATGTTGCTTCTCTTTCTTTTTTCTACAAATACTATAATAGGCACTGCTCTAAAGAGCTAGCGTCCCTTGTGCCATCTACTAAAATTCATTCTCGTGTTACTCGCCATTCAATTAAGTCTCATCCTTTTTCTGTGACTGTTCCTAAGTGCTTCAAAAACTCTTATTCTTCTAGTTTTTTTCCTCGAACATCAGTTCTTTGGAATTCGCTTCCTTCATCTTGCTTTCCTGATTCATATAATTTGCAATCTTTTAAGTCATCAGTCAATCGTTATCTTGCTCTACAGATTTAGTCTTTTTTCTTCCAGTAACTTCCAACTCTTATAGTGGTTGCTTGCAGCCTTGTTGGAAGTGAAGATGTTTAAAAAAAAAAAAAAAAAAAAAATTGTTTTTAACAAAAGAATGCAGCATCATTATGTTATGATAATTGAATAATGAATCAATTCAACTATATTTTGAAGTTCAGGTTTAATTGGTGAGAAAACAATTAAAATTTTCATTAAAAAAGATCAAAACAAATCAAATATACAACATAATATATATTTTTAAAAAAATTACAAAATTAAAATAAAAAAAAATTACAAAAAAAAAAAAAAATACAAAATTAAAAAAAAAAAACACAGAAGAAAAAGCAACAACCAAAAAGTCATAAATATCTCTACTGATAGAAGTCATAAATATAGACTGATAGACATTTACAGCCTTTTGGTTGCTGTTTTTTCTTCGGTGTTTCTCAACACCCCGGTATGGATGAGCCCTCCATTTGAAGGAGGGCTCATCCATTCCGCCATTATCTCTCCATTTGTTGAAGGACCTCTCTGAGAGAGGTCCCGGGTGTTAGGAGCGGTAAGTTTTATAATGATCGTATGATAAGGAATCTAAAGTTACAAATAGAAGAATATAGTAAAAATTATACATTTGCAATTATTTAAAAAAAAATTAGCATAACCTCACCATTTTTATTCGAAACAGAAGATGCTAAAAAAAAAAAATTAAAAAGGGTTAAACATGCAACATTTTGTATTTTAATAAAAATATAGGGCAATAATGCAACCAGTTCAAAAGTGTCATATTTATTAAATAATTTTTCTACCTATTGCACATATTTCTCCATACAAAATATATAACATATAAAACACAGCCCTACCAGCTATACTTCCATCAGACACTAAAGACAAATATATACTTAAATAAATATAAAGTAATCGATAAAATAATGTTAACATATAAATATATACATATCTAAATAATTGTTTTACCCATCCCCCTCATTTCATCCATAATGTTGTCTAAGTAAAAAATAACTAAAGCTAAAAACTAAACCAAAACTATACACTAAAGTAAATTTTTACTTCTTCTTAATAATAATGGTTTATTTATTAAACTAAACTAATCATAATTTATATTTAGTTTTTGTTCCAACTCCCCTAAAAGAAAATATAAAATAAAGCTCAAGAACTTGATTTTTTAAAATTCTAGTGTCAGTACAAATAAACAAATTCCTATTAACAAATATCTAATAGCAAAACCACTGGCTTATTTGCTTCTTCACTTCTGTATCTAAACAATAAAAGCACTTTAATGTTTAGACGTTAAAATATCGATAAAATACATGTTAAATGCCACATTTAACTAACTAATGTATTTAATACCTTTATTAGATCTCTCTTGATTAACTAAAGAATTTAAATTTAGATCAAACAATTTAATCAACTCTAATAATCTACTACCTTATTAATAAACTTTAAATATTTTTCTACGACTCAGTGTAACTATAATATAGATATTTTTAAAGTAAAAAAGAATTTAATATTATAATATATAAGATTTTAAAAACCTGAAATTTTAAATCTACCTCGTTTTTAAATGCAAGAGCAAATGGACTTTGTTCCATAATTATAGTTTGCAATTGAAACATTAAATCACCTAAACAAAGATCATTACCACGTTGTTGCATTCTAAAAATTAGTGCAGCAAGTGGATCATAAATATATAGTTGAGAATATATTGGTGAAATATCTTGATCTGGCCTAAGATTACCTACACAATGAAAAATCTTGCCACATATTTTAAAACATGGAAGCCCATGATTCACTGGTTGAACTACATTTGCTGTAAAAGAAGCAAAAGAAAGGCAGGCATTATAATTTCGAATATGTTTTAAAAATTAGCATTAGCATTAAGATCTACATAACTCTCTGTAAACAAATCCTGTAAAGCTTGTGTAATTGGTAAATGTGGAGGCAAAGCTACCTTACCATTATGGCAACATAGAAAATGTGTTTCATCTGGAAATTTCTTAGCACCACAGTGCTGACAAATTTGATTCATTTCTCCTAAATAATTATCATCTGAAATAGCATTACTTCTCGCTATAGAATACATTCGTTCTTGTCCAACAGCTCTTCTTTCATTTTGGCGACGATTAACATTATCTCGATCTAGCCTATTTCTTTCATTTTGTAAACAATTAGTTTCATCTCGCCTAAGTCTATTTCTTTCATTTCATCTACGATTATTTTTAACACGCCTTATAGCACTAACATCATCTTGTAAATACATAACTTCATCTAGCCTATCATCCATTTCAATGTCATCGTTTTCATTAAACATATTTATCAAAGCAACACTAATTATTTCTTTTTTTTTACTAATCTAAAGTTAACAATAAAATAAAAAAACTTAATAACTAAAAAAATCATACTCGAAAAATTAAAAAAAAAATTCTCAAAACTAATATATATAAAGAAACCAAACAAATGCAAAACAAAATTAATTTGCCATCATCAAAAGTAATACAGGTTTCTTAAGTTTAATTAATGGAAGTTAAGAAAAACCTGCAACCACATCAGCAAAAACTTATTAAAAAAAGTATGAATAAAAAAAAAAAAAAATTGTGACAGCGTCATAGTTCATGCGTTGGGAGAAAACATTGAACAAAACATGTAATAAAACTTATTAATGCATTATGTACAATAGAAAACAGGTTATTAACGCGGGTTTATAAATTTTTTTCTCCTAACACACTATTATGCTGCCGCAACTCGAAGGATATATATAGTTATATAAGTATATATAAAAAAAATACTTAATGTCTATTTAGACATTGAAAAGATCTACAGTTTTGAAAGCCTGAAACTTTAAATCTACCTCAAAAAAAAACAGATATATATTGAAAAGTATTATTTCTTTTCAAAAATTTAAAAATGCTTTTTAACTTACTCCCTCCAATATTATTATATAATTTATAGTATAAATTGATAAATAAACCTCTACAATTTTCTTGGTTTAACAACTTGATTATGATTAAATAACAACTCTATAAACGTGAATTTTCTAATAATCTAAATAAATTATAAGCAATTAAACTTAAAGAAAAATGTATGCAAATGATAAATGCTATATTAAGTACAGAAAAACAAACATATTATAACACAATTATATCCTAAACCAAAATTCATTAATGCAAGACAAAATAATATATATTTATTGAAAAGCCAGAAACATATTTTTTTCAATAAGCCAAAGTATTAACAATACTATATACAATAAATTTTATTTATAAAAAAATGTTGCCATGGCTTTTATTCCAATTATTAAAAGCATGTGAAAGCATGAAACTACCAATAAATATCTTTTAACGGTAGACACTATAGTAATATTTATATTTTCAATATTAACATCTATAACACAAAGCTTTAAATTTAAAAGTACAATTAAAAAGAGATTAAAATAAATTAATTACTTATAAAATTTTAAAAAGATTTTATATTACCTATTTACTTAGATTAAACATTATCTACTTACACATTTTAAACTCGTACCATGAAAGATTGCGACTTTTTTAAGAGAGCACGCGGTTTAGAAAAGTCAAGAAACTACTTAAAAAGTGTATTTTACAAAATTCAGAACCGTACCGTAACTATAAATCAATAGGCGTAACTATGCGCACTATTCATTAGAGTATTAATATTTAGATTTTACTTTTTACACTAAAATTTACACTTAAAAAAAAAATAACAAAAATTGAAAAAAAAATTAAATTTTTAGCAATTTTGAAGGGGATGGCCCCCTTAGACCACATTGGTTCATGAATGGTGTTCCCTAAAGAATGTCTCAAACAAGTTTGAATGCAGCATAATTATTTTCAAAATATTTTTACTAAAGATAATAATTATACTTTTATTAAAAATATTAAAAAAAAATTTAACTTGTCAATGATTATAAACGATAGCATTAAAGCTGTTAAAGTTAAAGCAGTTAAAAAGTTAACACACGTGACTTATTGGTTACAGTAGTTCATTCACTTTATATAGAGTATTATAAAATATACTTTGGTATGTCGATTGCATAGTATTTTTTTTAATTTAGTAGATTATTGTAGTCCTGACTGGCGCCATAAAAAGAATGAATTGTTGTTATTTATTTTTAAGCACTTGGCGCTAATTTGATTATTATTATTATTTCATTTATTTAACACCTAATGTAATTTACAAGGTAAAAAGAAAAATAAGAAAGTTATTTCTCGTGGTTTTCACTTAAGAAATTTTTCTTTCAGAATTTGTTGAAAAATTCCTCTTTTTTTTCTCGCATTCCACCATTCTATTGCATGTTTCAAAGTCTGTTCAACTTCGGAGGGAATTTCATTTTTAGAAAGTGCTACATTTATCTTCTTTTTATTTTGAATGAAATTTTGAAAATTTAGCATGCAAAAACAGCGTAGGTCCTGGATATTGCCAACAAACGAATGTTTAAATAAGGGGTGTTTTTGTTGTGAAAAGATAATGACTGAAGTTGTTTTAATTCTAAGAAGACAAAAAAACATGTTTAAATTACTTTGCTGATTACTTTTTGAAATATCCTGAATTTTAAATACTGTATTTTGAAACATTTAAAAGCAATTTTAGTGCACTCTTTCCAATTACCTGTAGCTTTTTCATCAAAGCAGAATTATTTTTACATAGCTCCATACTATAAGTTAAGGTAGAGACTGCCAATAATTTATATATGTAGGAAATAAAACTCGGGTTGGCAAACCGGATTCCAGATTGAAAAAGAGATTGAACAACAGCTCTAAAGTTTGAAATTTTTTCATCAACATTTGTATTATTGAGTGATGCAAAAGTTGAATGTTTAGTATCCCAAAAGAATCCCAAATGTCTAAGGTTATTCTGAAGATTTATTTTATTACTAGAAATCGTTATCGTTTTGGTTTGTATTTGTTCTTTTCCTGAAATCAAGAATTCAGTTTTTTCGGCATTTATTTTAATACAATTCAAATTACTGTAAATGTTGCATGTTTTTATCAGCTTTATGAGACCAAAGAGGGTAGAGCTTAAAAGTATGATATCATCCGCATATGCCACCACACAAGTGAAGCTACTCTATATTGATGTGCCAACAATACCTTAATTTGTATTAGTTTTAAGAAGACTTTCAGTGTAGATATTATATAGGTGAGGTGAAAGAGTCGACCCTTGTCTTACTCCTTGCTTAAGAAGGAGTTTGATTTACAACCTTGACATAAGACTGTTGCACTACTATTTTTATTTCACGAAGAGATAATGTTAACTATACAGAGTGGTAATTTTTTATCAAAATACAATTTATCAAATAGGATATCCCAGTTGCAGCTATCAAAAGCTTTTTCTGCATCTAAAGAGCATAGGTACCCAGGTGACTTGTTGCTATTGTAATGTTTAATTATTTTGCTAATTAGAAATTCAGCATGTAGTGTTAAACAGTTAGCATTGAATCCAAATTGTAGGGGGTTCCCAGCTAACAAATAACGATTAAAGAACGTTATCATAACTTTTGTTTAGGTTTGAGTAACGTACGCTGCAAACGTTCTTTGAACCAACTTTTGTGAACTATAATTAACGGTTCTTGAACGTTTACTGTAAACGTTCAAACAACAAATAACAAACGTTAACCTAATGTTCGCCGCAAACATTACTTTGATAGCTCTTGAACGTCCACCCCAGCTAAATATTAGCGTTCAATAAATGTTACTATAACGTTCGTTTACGTTTGCATAACGTACGCTGCAAACGTTATTTGAACAAATTTTTGTGAACTCCAATTTACAGTTTTTGAATGTTCGCTGTAAACTTTCAAATAACAAACAGCAAAGGTTTGCTGGAAACGTTACTTTAATATCTCTTAAATGTCCACCTTAAACGTGTAATCACGAACATGGACGTTTACATAACATTTCTTTTTAATGTATAGACTTAAACATATTTTCTGTTTAAACCAACGTTTGCTAGTATTTGTAATGTAATGCTTTTTTGAATATACAAAACCTACTTTTACTTAATAAATACAAATTCACCAATTTTATAACTGTATTACATCATATTAGGCTTATACGAAAACCCACGATTTAACAATTACATTTACGATTTAATATACATTCCAACCAAAGGCACACACAATTAGTTGAGGTAATTACAATTAAGAAAAATAATACTTCTTGCGATGAAAAAGTGGATTTATTAATAATAGTTAGCGCCCTATAGGGCATAAATAACAATTTACATCAATTTAAACTAAATTTTTACAAAACAACGTCAACAACATAAAAAGTATACAACATAAAAATCCAGCTCATTCCACTACAACATAAAAATCCAGCTCATTCCACTAAAAAGTTAAAACATTGTTCACGTCATATGTAAAATACCAAGCCTTACCATACTTCATAATAAATAAAAACAATTCCTAAGTAAAAACAAATGCTTTTTGTGGATTTGATAAACAAACTAGTTTTATCTAATTATTTATACACAAAGAATGACATTAGTTCACAATAATATGTTTTAGGGACAGCATAATTAACTTTAAGTTTTCAAAGGGTCCGTAGTATAATGAAAAAAAATAATTCAAAGGTGTC